GTAAACCAAGTTCAAAGTGCCCAACCAAAGGGAACGCTAATCACTATAATGGTGAGTTAAAAAAAACTTTTTTTTTAGGAAAATCAACATCAATTGAATATGAAGTTAGCTTATGTGATGTTCTCTCAAATATTTCAGTTGTATTGAAAATTCAACATTCATGATGACTGGGAAACGAGTGAATGCAACTTGTGAAAGATAACTGCAGACATTGAGGAAATGGGTGAAAAGTCTATTAAGACTCTTTTTATTTTCTTCTTCTTCTGTTGTTATGTTGCACATTAGCAACATATTAGTGCACTGCTTCCTCTCACTGCTTTATTAATGTCATTGGTTCCTTTGTGGCTACTTGAATATTTTAAGTAAGTTTCACTCAAAACAGTAAGTAAATTGTTTTATTTGCCTTGAAAGTAGCTGTAACTGAATAAAACCTAGTAAGTATAACAACTAAGTAAAGATTACTAATTAAATCTAAGTAAGGTAAACTATTGGATTTTACAGTGTATGAGAGTGGAGTAACATATCTAAAATCTCAGGAGGAGAATGGTGTTCCTACCATTCTACATAACACCGTTTGACAAAGGTGCTGTTTAGCACTTTTAAAGATAGGTCCTATAGTACTTAAAGTGGTTCCCCTGTTTACAAGCCAATGAACTACTTTTAGTGCTATTTAGCACCATTTTTGTTTAGATTGTAGTTGCAAAAATGTGGTTAGTGTTGCTGAGTTTTTTCCAGTTGTGCATTATCTCCCAAACCACAATTCTCCACACCGCTTGTCTTATAGGAGTCTATATTTCCTTTGGGTTCCACTGTCATGCAGAGTTTAGCTCTAACCCTTATCAAACTCACCTGAACGAGATAACCAAGGCCTTCAGGACTACTAGAAAACTACAGGCAGTTGAGTACGATCAGGGTTGGAGTTCTTCAGAAAAGTGGATCTCGAAGGTTAGTTGCCCAGCCCTGTTGTAGAGACTTTGATAGGTTTACATTTATGCATGGCACACATACATTTCTGGAGCATATTCTGGACTAATTGAAATCATTCATTAATTTTTATTATTATTATTATGATTTCTTTTACAATAGTAACAGTAAATAGTTGTTTCATTGTGGTGTCATATTTTATTTTATTATTATTTCCTGGTATTATTTACTTACTGTCATAATGGTGATGTCCTGGAGGGCCAGCATCATGCAGAGTTTAGCTTTAACCAGCTCCAGCACACTTGTGGAAGTTTCTAGTGAGACCTTGATTAGCTGGTTAAGGTCTAACTCTGCAGGACAGTGGCCCTGCAGGAACAGGTTTGGACACCCCTGGTCATAACAGTTCACAACTGCCTTGTGTTAAATTCTTTCTGGTTTCCTAAAAATACTGGTATGGCAATCGTTTCAGCATATTAACTTATTGACAGCAGAGCTCATATTTGAATGGTCTGTTAAGCAATCAACCATTTAACACTAAGTTATTATAAAGTGATACATGATCTAGCAGTGGTTCTCAATAGCGATGTACATTTGAACCGAGGAAACGGAGCTCGTGTCGAGAATAAATGGGCGTGCCAGATGAAGCCTCGATTCTAGGCTCGTGTTGTTAATGTAGAAATCATGTGACCAATGACAAACGAAACCTCACTTGCTGTTCATTTTGTGTGTAGGAATGTTCGAATCCCCAGATCTTACTTTACCAGTAAGTTTTTATTCGGACTTACTCAATTACATTTTTTAAATAACCAGTCATACAAGAAGGCCTAGTATAAAGAATGCAAATTATTTCAGGAAAATAAAATATTTGCCATATGCAATTCAAATGTGTACATTATTCTTCTGTTAGGCTACATCATATTGATATTTGTAATGGCATTAACTGCCACAGTTTATTGGGTAAATGAATTTATCAGAGAGAGAGAAATTCAACAAACACAAACACACATACTGTTAGGCTTTTATTTGTGTACATGAATCGATCTATGGAATGTGTTGTGGCTGCTTCGTCCGACGAAGCTTCTTTCACGGGCTTTTGGCTGCTTTATTTTTTACTAACCTCCAGATAGCGCTGTTTTCGACACTATCGAAGCTTTGAATCTTTTCCCGAAACAATCAGAGGAAAGTCTCAGTGCTTCGCGGGGCTTCATTTAACCAACCAACACTTGTTCTCAACTCTGGTCCACATTTTCTAGGCTATGACTTCTATATTTAACACAACTGAACCAACCAATTTAGGTCTTCAGGAGCACTTGATTATTGTTGGATAAGGGTCTATATAAATAAAACAAATAAATACAATATAAAATAATT